TTTTTTTTTTTTTTTTTCGTTTTGAAAGGGTGTATCTCGGTGGTAGGTACAACCATGCACGCCAGACTTGTCTCTCCCAGATTTGGATGCCAATGCTCGCTGGGGTGAGCAATGATTAGGGTCTACGACATGTGTGCCGGATCTGAGGTGGGGTTGTGCACTGGCTACTACAAAGCAAGGCGTATAAAGCATGGTAGCTTCTTTGACTTGTGAACGGGAAGCCGTGTGAGCTGCAGCTAAAGCTATTGAGCTATTGAAGCGGGGTCGGAATCGCCGTGTGCGGGTCCTGTAGGTTTCATATGTTGGTCATACTTAAACTGTAACTAATAACTAAGATGGCTGTAATACTAGTATCATGAGAATCAGGTTCGGAATAACTTCCAATAACATGGAAGCCCTCACTCAGTCCCTGCAAACTCCAAGACCCAGCCCCCTCCCTTCTTCATGATTCCTAGTAGTAGCTGGTACCAAGCAGTAGGATCTACTTTCTAGACCCTCCCAGGGGTCTAAACCCTGAACCTTTTTGACCACATTGCTCTAAACCCTGAACCTGATTCGACACTTGCAGGCAACTGGCGCCATGAAGCCGACCCATTTCATGAACTCCTAAGATCAGCTTCAGAGGAGCTGGCCTTGAACGCTCCAAAAGCGTAGCCTCCAAACCCAAGGTAGGTTTTGGGGTCAGGATTTAGGGTTGAGGGTGTTATAGGGCTATATAGGGGTACCTAGGACTATATGAGAGCATTTAAGGATTAGGGCTTCCCAAGGGATATAGAGTTCAGGTCTGGGAGTTCTATTGGGATTTGTAGGGTTCATATATAGGGATAAGAAGAGGATGAGTATAATAGACCAACCAGAGAGAATCAAGTTGAGCAGAACATGGGCAATGAAGCCAACGCTACTATTTTGTGTGCTGTTTAGGGCTAAGATGGGCTAAGGTTCGGGAGTGGTTCAGCAAAGAGTTGGGTACGGTCTCTGTGTAGGGGTCGGAACAAGTTTCAGGATGTAGGACTTTCTGAAATCGTTTCTTTCTGTAAGCGCTATTCTTTAGCGCGCGGCACCTGCTGATTCCAGGCACAGAACAGGAACCTGCTCGAAGATTGTGGAACCTGATACAACTTACTCTCTACATACTCGGTAGGTCATGTGTCCAGGTTATGTCGCGCAACGTCCCTGATGGTTCTGTTCCAACGTATGTAACCTATTCATAGATATGATTCGAACTGACTGTCGCCATCAGCCATACCGGACCAACTATGACTTGGACTTGCAAGACATAAATATGTACATATATATATATATATATATGCTACCCCTCCCATTGACCAAGCTTTTCTGGATGAACTCCTTTTGAATTCCAGTTGAGTGAAAAGAAATCTTGGAAGACAGTTTTGGGGGGTGGCTTTGAAAGATCCAACTAGAATTAAAGAGCAATCTAGAAATCCTGGAATTCTAGTTTTGAAGGTGGCTTTGCTTTATATAAATTCGTTCTCAAAACCAATTAGGGATAAAAGCGAATTCCTTTTCCACTCCCCTCAGAAAGCAAAGGGGAAGCTTGGAATCTTGGAATTTTAGTTTTGGAGGCGGCTTTGTTTGATATGAATTCCTTTTAAATACCAATTAGGAACTAGAACGAAATCTTGACATCTTGGATTTCTTGTTTTAGAGGTGGCTTTATTACAATCTCATTTGGAATTGAAAAGAGACTTTGGGATCATGGAAGTCTAGTTTTGGAGGTGGCTTTGCCTTGTATGAATTTCCTTTAAATCCCAATTAGGATTTCAAGAGGAATCTTGAAATCCTGGAATTCTGGTTTTGGAGGTGGATTTGCTTTATTTAAATTCCTTGTAACATCCAATTAGGGATCAAGGAAGAGATCTTGGAATCATGGAAGTCTAGTTTTGAAGGTGGCCTTGTTCCAGCTAAGTTCGTTTTGAAATCATGAAAGAGAAATCTTGGGATACTGGAATTCTGGTTTTGGAGGTGGCTTTGCTCCAGCTAAATTCCTTTTAAAATCAAATTAGGAGTTCAAGGAAATCCTGGAATCATTGAATTCTAGTTTTGGAGGTGGCCTTGCTTTATATAAGTTATCCTGAAATTCTAGTTTTGGAGGTGGCTTGGCTCCACCTAAATTCCTTTTAAGATCAAATTAGGAATTAAAGAGGAATCTTGGAATCCTGGAATTCTTGTTTTGGAGGTGGCTGTGCTTTATATAGCGACTGCATCTTGGGTAAAGGTTGCCTCTTGGGTAGGGGTTGCCTTTTAGTTGGAGTCTTCAGGGTCTAGGTATTGGTTGGCAAAAATTGTTCAGGACAACTTCTTCCTACGATTTAATCCAAAAAGGTTGAACGAGTTGCCCTGAGCAACTTTTTCCAACGAAATGATGGTTTTGGAAGTGGAAGATGTGGGCCTAGTGCCTGAGATCCTGTAACACCAAGAATTCCTTGAACAGGTTGTCCAGGACAACTTTTCCAACCATTTTCAACCAAATAGGAAAAATTATACTGGACGACTTTTCCCAACACAACCTCAGGAGATTCTTTGGAAACCCATAAATTCATGGAAAATGTTGGCCATGCCAATGTTTTCCATTGTTTTTCACAGGAATTCATGGAAAACATTGGCCAGGCCAATATATTCCATGATTTTTTCCTAGATTTTGGGGCTGGTCCCAGGAGATTTTTGGAAACCATAAATTCATGCAATATATTGGCCAGACCAACATATTCCATGAATTTGTAGATGTTATCAGACAGCATTAAACATAATTGGCGGACCCTAACCAAGGCACGACCCTGACGCAAGATGCATCTCAAGGTGGCGTACTTGAGCAGAACTTATTGAAGAAAACCTTGGTCAATGGGGGGGGGGTACCATATATATATATACATATATACACACATATATATATATACATATATAGACCCAAGCAAGCATGACACAATTTGGATTCACGTCATGCAGAGATGCATGTGTAGAGGTACTTTGAAGAGGTTTCCGTAGACGTGAAGCTTCTGAAGCAACATTTATGTATTACAGGTTTGGACGCCACGAATTCAGTGGTTGGGTCAGATATGCGACCTTGATCGATGGTGGCTGCAGGGTGCTTGTTATGGGTAAGAAAGCCCATGCACATATTTCGTTGGGTGCTACCCTGAAGTTGCCTCTCGGTCGAAAGCTATCAGGGGGCATGAAGCCCAGCGGGGACGTCAAATGGATCCGATCAAGCCAAAGCAATCGCTGTGCAACAGTTTCCACGATGCATTGGAATGCGCTTTGCAGCGTTTGTGATAGCCTGTGGCTAGGAGCAGTCTGCGGATTTGTTATGACTGCAGGTTGGCTTAAAGGAAGGGTTCGGATCTTCTCCGAAGAGAGAAGCCTAGCTTTTGTTGTAGTCTGCCTACAGTTTGCTGCCATGGCGACTGAGACGATGATCGCGGAACTGCCTGCCCAGGCTTTGATGGGTTCACTTCCCACTCTGCTGGGTCGGTATCAGCTGACCAAGGGAGAGGCCTATGCCGCGGCCAGGGAAGCCAGGAAGGTCCCACTTCTCACGAAGGAGCGAGGTGTTGCGTTGCAGCTGGAACTCATGGCAACCTACAGTTCGCCCGCCTTCCAAAAGCAGCTTCACGAACTCGGCCGCACGCTTGGGTGGCTCGGCCAGCATCTGGCTGTTGCTTTGCTAATATTTGGAACACGGTACTAGTGCAAGCTACAGGAAGAACAGTGTTGTCCTGATAGCATTATGGCGGGTAATGCCAAGTGTTTGATAGAACATCTATCTTGATATGGACCATGCAAAGCTCCACACAGAAATGGACCAGGGCCAAAGCAGCACAAAGCAATATCAGTCATGCCAACAGATCCAAGTTTTTTGGTTAGACGAGCGACTCTGAAAAGCCATCTGAAACCAAGTTACAAGCAATGTAGGTTGAGAATTTCAGACAGGCAGCATGGGTGCTCATCAACTTGCGGTGGGACCTGCCCTTGAGGCTGCTGTAAGATGAGGTAATCTGGAATGAGTCTGCAAAACCCCAAAAAGAGCACGCTCATCTATGCGCCACCCGATCCAGCAACAATGTTGCTGTGTGACTTCTCCTCTCGACATGCTGTTGTCTCTAGGGTCTAGTGGGTTATGTCTGCTCACGCATTCCAGAATTGGCAAAGCTGTTTGACGGTGGTGCTGGCATTGTTCTCATCACGGTTTTTGCGTAGAAGGAGGGGGTGGAAGGTAGAATCAGCCAACCCAGCTCCTTAAACGGAAGCCTGCTACGTATGCTCAGGCCTGCGAGCAGCAAATTTCGGGCTGCATTGTGCAGAATGGTGCGCCATGCCCAGATGGAGGTCATCCCCACGTATGGCAGCTCAACTTGAGCAGTTTTGTTGAAGACCTGGGATTTCGCAATTAGTAGGCTGCCACTTGGGGTCCTGCATTTGCCGTATGGCATAATGGCATACGCTGATCTCGTTGTGGGCTGCAGATTGAGATACTGAATATTGGACAAAATAGTTCATAAGCAGCAAGACGATTGATCATGCCACTAACGTTAGACAACCTGTTCTCAACCGCCAGGCTTCGAACCCTCTGAAGAAGGGGTCGAGACCATGTTGCGAGCATTTAAATCGCTGGAGAAGGATCCTGACATCGAGGTGCATGGGTGGAAAAGGGACATATCACCCAAATATAACCCTATGCATACTCCCATCTCATACCGTCCTCGATATGGTCCCCAGAAAAACCCTGAATAATCGTATAAGGATTGCACCTCTATCATTCTTGCAAAGTCTTTTGCATATGTGGATAACTCACTTGCGTTTCGATTCGTATCCCTGCCATCTTTGAAGGAAGGAAGGCTATGCTGATGAATGGCCATTATAGTAGTTTCTATTTTCTTTTCCATTATCCCTATATAAACTCTATATTATATTACCCCTATATAAGCCCTATATTACGCCTATGTACCTTGACCTGAAGTTTTAAGGTCAACAGCGTGGCCATCAGGGACTTGCTGTCCTTGGAGGCCCCACCCATGGAAATGAATGAGAAGAACAAGGTCATCGAGAGACCAGTGACCAAGCACCGCATCTTGGACATGCAGCTTGGCTTTCGCCCCACTTCAGCCCTGAAGCCAGGAAGCATTTTCGGCTTGCGTTTAAGGATATTGTCCCCCTGTAAATGGAGAATCAAATGGAAAAGGACACGGAACATGAAATGGAAAACGGGGGGAATACAGGGATTTAAGGAACTTAAATTAGATTACCATGATGGGTATATATACTAAATAATGGAGTTCCCCCCAATATAGTACCTTGAATGAAGGAATAAAAGGAATTCAATTTAAGTTTGTCACTTTTAACTGGGACTCTCCACCTCCCTACTCTGAGACAGGGACACAAAAGCAACTGTAAGGCCTAAAATGGAAGGATCCCCTATGACAAGAGACCCTCGTTAGGGAGTACGCATGGCCCTAAACCCCTAAACCCTACACCCCGAAGACCCTAAACCCTAAACGCCTAAACTCCTGAAACCTGAGCCCTAGTCCACCAGGCTTCGTGTTCAGCTCATCGAATTTAGCAAGGCTACCTTCCAGGCCTGCCGGGTTTAGGGCCTTCGGTTTTGGGGTTGATAGGGGTTTAGGGTATAGGGTTTTAGGGTCTGGGTCTTTTGTGTTTAGGGGTTTAGGGTCTAGGGGTTTAGGGTGTTGTCGCGGCTTCTTGTTTTTGCATGTTTTGCACTCGTTGCTATGTTGCTATAATATCTAATCTAGGACTGCTGCAACACTAAGACGCTTGTTTGTTGGGGTGAGCGATGCCGTTGTGCCTCCAGGAGCCATGATTAGGGTTGGCAGGACCCTTCAAAACCCAAAGTAAAGACTTGGCCGCACTGCTAAACTTCACAGTAAGCCCTGCCATTTAGTCTGTTTTTCAACAGCAGGCCGACGTGGACGAGCTGAAGAAATGTGCTGACTACAACTCTGGCCGAGCAGCTTGGCGAGTGGTGGCGGCACTTGTAGCTGCTCCTACCTTTTAGCTACGCTGCTACTGCTGCCTGTGCTGCTGCTGCTGCTGCTGCTGCTGCTGCTGCTGCTGCTGCCGCTATGCCAAAAACGACGACGGCGGCTGCGGCGGCGGTGACGGCAGCTGCCACTGCTGCTACTAGTGCTGCTACTAGTGCTGCTGCTGCTGCTGCTGCTGCTGCTGCTGGGTGCCCGGCTTCAGTCGCTCCGTGTTTTGTGAAGTTGTGCCGCAGGTGCGTGTCCAATGGGATTCCCATCTAGGGCCACGACATTGTGAACATCTTCATTACTTTTTTTGTAGCATGCAAGCGGGCGTACTTGGGGGTTTCTAATCTACGTGCAAGCGCGTGTATTTGGGTATGAAGATGTGCGGCCGTAGCATTGTGCAAACCGCAAGCGCATGTGCGTGGGAGTTCTCATCTATGGCCATGGCGTCACACATATCTTCATTATTGTTTTGATGACTTGCAAGCGTGTGTACTTCTAGATTCTCATCTATGGCCATAGCGTTAGGAATGTCTCCATCACAGTTTTTGTAACTTGCAAGCGCGTGTACTTTCGGTTTTTCATTTATGGCCGTAGCGTGGTAAGAGCCTTACTTACTTTACTGTCTTTGTACCTTGCAAGCATGTTTACTTGCGGATTGCTGTCTGAGAGCAAAGTTGTAAGCATCATCTGTGCTAGTCGGATTTTCCACTTTTCAAAGGTGTTAGTTGAGGGTTTCTTCTTAGGGCAATGCCGCTGCAACATCTGCCATGCGGCCTTACATCTGGCAGTGTGCTCTGGAGGGAGGCGCAAAGGTGGTTTTACCCGGCCGCATGCGGACCTCGCGCAGCAGCATGAAATAAGTTGTTCTTGTTCCATTTGAGCCAGTCACACGCAACGCGACGTTTTCTTGTTGCAAAACTGCTTTGGACAGCACATGTACTTTACGTCTTGTAGTTCCTGGAGTGAGTTTACATGCTGCCTCAAAATGCGGTGTGCACCTGGTGAGTCGCATGAATCAGCAACATCAAAGAGGTGTTTCATCTCATTTGACCAACGAGTCACGCCACCCGCCTTTTCTGTTGTTTCAAGACTTGGTTTCGAAAGCGCTTGTACAAGGCGTGTCATGGATCGTTGCGTGACTTGACATGTTGCCTGACAATGCACATGCGCATGCGCATGTTTCGCCAACAAGTCACATGCACCGCGCCGGTTTTGCTGATTGCGAAATGTGCTTTGGACAGCGCGTGCGTACATGGCGTTTCATGCTTCCTGGAGTGACTTCATGTGGGTGGCGTGACTTCCTTAGTCCCACTGTTTTTGCCACCTATATACTGCTGCTACTGCTGCTGCTCGTAGTGGTGGTGGTGGTGGTGGTGGTGGTGGTGGTGGTGGTGGTGGTGGTAGTAGTCGTCGTCGTCATCGTCGTCGTCGTCGTCGTCGCGGCGGCGGCGGCGGCGGCGGCGGTGGTGGTTATGTAGTACGGTTACTGCTGCTGCTGCTGCTATCACTACTACTCTTACTATTACTATTACTATTACTACTACTACTACTACTACTATTTCTACGACTACTACGACTACTGCTACTAGTAGCCCCCCCCAGCTACCAACTATGTTTGCTTAAGTTGCCCGTATAATTATGCGGGAGGCGACATTAGCAAACAGTAAGCAACATGACAACCAAAATGCTTTTCACGCAGGGTGCTGGTTACTAAACCCCTAAACCCTAAACCCTAACCCCTAAACCCCTAAACCCCTAAACCCTAAACCCCTAAACCCTAAACCCGTAAACCCTAAACCCTGCTTTGTGAGCCTGACCTTGACCATGGCTCCAAGCTATGCCAATGTGGACACACTGTCACCAAAGATTTCCGTGGTACAGTCAAAAATGCGGGCCAAAATGACGTTCTTACGGATCCACATTGGTCGGAAAAGCCAAAAGAAATTTGAAAGGAATTAAGTTTGGGGGAAATTGACTGGTTGAGTTCAGCTTGTACGCAGTTATACCCCCCCCCCACCCCCCAAAGCTCTGGTAGCGAAAATATCGACCAACATAGTTGGTGGGGGGGAGGAGCGCCTAGTACTACTATTTCTGTTTTTAATATAATGTGAAGATTACATGCGGATCGCATAGAACTGCAGCCAATTACTTTGCAATTGCCATGTAGGGGCTTCCAGAAGTTCAGGGCCCCTTTGCAGGGGACCTTATAACCGGCATTATGGTATATGGGAATCTAGATGCCTAAAGAACGGTGACTGTTTTTTTTTTTAAACCACTCTGTGGAACTGCAGCACACCTGTTACATCGCGGTATCACTGCTCAACGGTCACTTATGATTGGTAAATCGCTTGACGATATGGTGCTCGCAACGTTGCGAAGGCAAAGGGATTGCTGCCATCCCGAACGGGTCACAGCCGCATGTTGAGAGGATCTTGAAGGCATACGGTGATGTTCAAATTGGACTTCTTAGCACAGGGGGTCACAGACCTCAGCTCTGATAAGAATACAAGAACGACTGATATACGCAATGTGTTGCATAGCACGTATTTCATTGTTCCCTGTATGCAAACCTTCAGCACTTCTAACGTACGACAACAAAGCATAACGATGGATAACCTGCCTGGTCACCTGCAACAACCTGTTAGCGAAAGAAAGCCGTGGCTGAAGTTGTGGTGTTGCATCAGTTGTCCCAGGAAATATCTGGACCCCCACTACCCGGTGCCCAACTACTTCTTGATTCATTCTGGATGAGTAGTGGGGTACCAGGCAGTGGGGGTCCTGAGAGTCAATAAGATGCTGGTCGAGACTCCCTGCCTGTCTCAGCGCAGACAAGATCCTGAATTACGGCCCATAATCAATCGTGCACCTTTGGGAAATGAACGTGCAAGAAATCCTAAGCCCTGCCATTAACCCCAATTATGCACAGGTAGTAGCCATGACCCACAGAACTGTAGGGAATTCGGGTCACAGGTAATCCCCAAAAATGACCCAGCGCAAGAACAAGCCTCTGCGAGCCTGACTCAGCTTCAACTAAACCTCCCTTGCTGATATGGAGATTCCCAAGAATTAGGGGTCTCGTTAAAATTGAAGGTGCTTCATGGGAGTCCCACTAAAACCCTTCAAAAGGATCCGAGCGCATTGGGGACTATATTGGGATCCTACCATATGGGCCCCAGCCGCAATGGATAAAACTCTGCAACAGGTACAAAGGAGAAAGAGGTATGGGTTGGGGCTTCAGAGAAGACAAGTTTTGCTGCTTGAATTATAAAGGGACTCTACTGGGAACCCCAAACTGGGAACCCCAAGAATATAGTAGGTATATGATAGGAATATGCCTACCAGGGTCCTTATATTCCATTATATTCCTGCTATATTCTTGGGGTTCCCTATTTGGGGTTCCCAATAGGTCCCTTTAAATTAGGGAAATGCAGCAACCTCAGAGACCCCGTCATGAACAACATGCGTAGCAAAAGGCCCCAACCAAACAACAGTTGAGTAGCGTTTTGTTGGTGGTTGAGCCTAGTAAGATTATATTCCTTATATAAAATACTATACCCCAAAGGAATGATAAAATCTTACTCTATAATGGTTACCATAGTATCCCCAAGTAAAAATACTACTCAGTTGGATAGTAACTACAGCATGACATAAAGTGCTTAGATTTGCCCTTATTATGAATGGTTCCTGTGGCAGTACCCGAAACACGCTCTGGACTTGGGTGTTGCTTTCAAAACAATCCCTGGCTGTCGTGTTGTTCCTCTTGTGAGTCCCTGCAGGACAGGAATGCGGCGTGCCCGGTGGCAGACCCTTGCTAGTCGAAACGAGGTTCTTGATATGAGCTACCGTCCGTATTCCTGACTACCCAAATGGAGGCCAGCTCCGATTAGGAATCATGGAGCTGTTGATCCTAAAAATCCTGCACGACTCTACTGTACTATAGTACCCAAATTCCCAAGGAACAAAGCACCTAGGGTCATGCAGGATGTTGAATATCCACCATACGGGTGACACTAAAATCACCAAGAGAAGCCTCACACTCAGCACTCCACCTTCGGCCCTGTAGAATATCATCCTGAATCCTCAACCCGCAGTCCCCAAAGGTAGCCCTGGCTACCTTGTGATAATCCCCCAACCCTCAAACCCAGGTCCTATGCATCCCCAAAAACCCTGAAATATCCTGAACTCCATGTTTGCATGTTTACGTTGCTTCAAAAGGACCTAAACTGTCACAGTGACAGTAGCTCACGAGAGTCCTTCTCCGCAACCTTTAAAAAATCGGAATATTTACTCTAAGGGATTTGGAAGCCCAGTAGAAATTATAATTTCAGCTAAATATTAGAATTCTAGGTAACAGAAATTAAAAACTATTTTCAGGAACCTTGTAGTTTAGGGTTGAGGGTGTAAGGTTGAGGGTTGGAGTCTGAGGAAGCCAGGTTCAAGATGAGATATAAGCTATTGTCTAAACTCCTTAAAGGGGGTTATATAGGGGATTATATAGGGGACTACTATAGGGCTTATTAAGGGGGATACTAGGAGTTTAGACCATAGCTCATATTATGAACAACTTCCGCATTTCTCACAGGATCTCCACATTGGAGGTTACGGAGAATGGCCTTAAACTTGCAAACGTCTGGGAAAATTCACTTTTTTTAAATGGTGGGTCCGTCTCTGGTCGGTCGCACGCTCGGTCCTAGAACTTTTTTGGAGGGCGGGTGAATTCGGGTGTGTAATGGCTTGTAGTCTGGGGTTTAGGGGTTGGAGTTTGCTAGAGGGAGCTACGGCCTGTTAGATCCTTATTTTTGGGTGAGATGGCAATACGCTGCAATCAGGATCCCTTCTGTAATTCCACACCATACGCCCTTAAACGCTAAACCCTAGACCCTAAAGCCAGATAATTGGTACCCTGTAGAGCATTTCCTGGTCATCTGTAAGACCTAAATGTTGCTTAGTCGACTTTGTGAATCTCCTCCCCTTCGCA